CTGTATTTCCAGATTTATCTGGCCAAACGCCCTCTTGAGGCATAGCATTGTGTAATACAATGTTCCCGACGGGTATTTGGTGTAACAGTGTTAACGGCTAACTTTCTTCAATATCATATATAATGAGAGGTCGCAGGTTCGAATCCCGTCGGAGGCATTTTATTACACAATGATTTTTCATAGGACTTTATTCGTAGGCTACAGGGTAGATATAACACTTTTAACCTGGGTTCTTTTTTGGGCCTAATCTATAGCATTATGTACAGGGATAGCCCCTTTAATAACACCACCAACAACAACATCAGCAACACTAACAACAACATCAGCAACACCAACAACAACACCAACAACACCACCAACCACTAACAACCGCAACAACAAACAACAACAACAACAACAACGATTGTTTAAGCGCAAATTATCATCTCACCAACAACAACAAAAAGTCGCGTGTCTAAAAAAGAACATTATTATCTCTTTTGTGAATATGGCCTAATTCTTGAGTTATACCGGTAAGTATAGTATTCTCTGTATCAGTGGAGGCTAGCGGTTCTGCAGTTTAACAACCAAATTTGTCCATCCCCACTCTTACAGTAATAGCCGGACCACTTACAAAATACTTCCGACAACTATGGTTTAATATGAGTTAGGTCATTGCACTATTCTGTGTGTAACATTAGCGAAAAGTACCAATTAAAATAACGTAGGACGACCTTGTCTAGAACTACGGTAGTAGAATATTAATCTCTTACAGATAAACCATAGGCCGTCTTGTAGAAGACAGTTTATCTCTTTACGTATAACATTATTTCTTATATCAGTTATATAAAAACAATCTTAATAGGAGATCCTGTCTTGTCGTTTAACATGCTTAAGAGAAGGGATTTCACATTCATCTCTGTTACACGTGTGTGCGTCGAGTAAAGCGCAATGACATATTTTAAATGTTAAAACTAAATCAATGATGTACGTGTGACTTAATCTTTGTTTTTGTTTTTGTGTTTCTTTTTTTTTTCAGGACTAAATTTAGGCAATGGAAAGTTGCATTTATAATTCTTCTGTGCCTCGGTTTAATCGCAGGCGTCCCAATCGGCATATTAACAGGACGTGAACGAGAGTCTTACGAATACAAGCACGCCGCAGTGGCTTCAGATAACGCAGATTGTTCTAGGATAGGCAAGTAAGGGCCATTAGCACTCCATAGGTACTTCAGGTGATACACAGTTGAAACGCCGTTCCAAACTATAATCATAGGCCTACTTGTCCGTTAACATTCTAATGCGAAATATATTCTTGAAATTTGTTGCTATCAATATTCTTCTTACATATAATAATTATTATTTATTAATGTAGGCATATTCGAATCCAAATACAAGCCCTGGAATAATAACGAACAGAATAACAGTCACTCATGGCTGGCCGGCCGACGACTGAAGTGACACATGAACATCATTTAATGCGATAATAATTAAAACAGCAAGACGGAGACATGACGTTCCTCTTAGCTCTATCAGAAAGATAATTGAGCAAGAAGAATAATATTGAAGAACAACATTTACAGATAAAATATTTATACAATTGCTTTCTCAAAAAATATTTGTATGTGTTTACATATATTTATTAGGCCCTATTTTATATTCTAAAGAGATATTTTGAAAAACGGAGGAAATGCCGTGGATGCAGCAATCGCAATAATGCTGTGTATCGGCTTATATCATGCACACAACGCCGGGATAGGAGGTGGCAGTTTTATGGTTATTAAAGATACGGGGGAGAAAGGCCAAATATTTGCGTATGACTTCCGCGAAGAAGCACCCGGACGAGCCAATGAGACCATGTTTGTAAACGATACAACGGATGCATCGGTCCTCGGTAAGAAATTAGATGAGTTATAGCTTAATAAGTCATACATGATAAATAACTAAACAGGTGTCAGTATTTTGTATTACCTTTACAACGTTATAAACTAAAAAGAAACATAGCACGACGAAAATTGATTCATAGCCTGCATTTAAGTTACGCCCTCGTAACTATATCCTGTACTCGCAAATTTGACGTCACATCTTATTATATCGAAATAAGCCTAGGCTAAAATTGTTAACGTAGTTAATGAATTGCTAACGTCAAAAAGAAAAACTATGGCAATACATCGTGACAAATTGATATAATTTGTAAGTGAATGATAAGAGGCCTGGTTCTCAAAGATCTACCTTTCCAGAGTACTAAATACACTTAACAACTTATCAAACAGAACGTGTTATTAGACGGACGCAGGATTACGCGCATGTCCCACAAAACAAGTTTACGACTGCAGATTACGGCCTTCGTTTTATGGAACAGTATCCAAGGAGTGGCGTTTAGCAGAACGTTCGACAATGTTCGTAGAATTGGGTGGTGGTTACATCTTAACTACGATACTTTTAAGTTGATGCATTCCGATATTCATAAGGCCTATAGAATACGTGCTATACATTCTACCAATAATTTGGTCTGTTAACTAAACTATTTCACCCTCTGTCCGAGCTTTAATCTAAAAATCCAGGATCGGGTTGTTTTTTTGTTTTTGTTTTTGTTTTTGTTTTTTTTTTTTGGGGGGGGGGGTGCATTTACCAAGGATGTGCCCAGAATAGTTGTATGATGTTTCAAGCTCAGGTTAATAAATTTGATGTCTTTACAAAAACTGCAGACCGACCACCCTGATTTCCAACTGTCCTGAAACTTTTTTGGCCAGTATGTCTACATACGTGCGCTCGGGTAGACCTACTTAATTGAATGAACGTAGGCCCAGGTAGGCCTAAACACCCACAAATAGTCAATCTCAAACCTGTTTATCCTCTCGTTAGGTGGACTAGCTATCGGTGTTCCCGGAGAGGTGAAGGGTTACTGGACTGTTCACCAAAAACATGGTCGTTTGCCATGGAAGGATCTGTTTGCTCCAAGTATCCAACTGGCACGGAATGGGTTCATCGTTAATAGCATCCTCGCAAACGCCATCCTGTCAAAGAAGGAAATCATTGAGCAAGATCCTAGCCTAAGGTAGTAACTATATAAATCAGTTAGGATGTAAGTTTGCGTCAGGAAAAAATCATCAAAAAGACATCAGGCTAGATACCTGAAGGTCGTGGGTTCGATTCCCACCCGAATCACTTGCGATTTTTTTTTCGTTAGTATTTGGGGAAGTACTGAGTATTCGGTACGATATACGTCAGGTAGGGAAAACATCACTCCTTATTCAAACGGCGCAATAATGTAAATCTGTGAGGCAGAGTGGCGTAATAGGGTACTGCTTTGGTAAAACTATTCGACAGGGGCAACTATGATCGAAGTGGCTACTCCAGTCCCGGAGTAAAAACCTCCGATGAGGTCTATAGGGAGATTAAAAATAATTAAAATATAAATCAAATTAAATACAAGTATTTTTAAGTTATTTTAAGTTTGATGCTTCATGTCATACGAAAGAAGAAGAAAAATAGGGAGATACTTTATACTTTCAGTAGGTAAAATAGAACCATTATTTATGCCACAATATTGAGAAATGAAATCATAAAATGGTGCCGTAACTAAACTAATAACTAATGTTAGATCGAGTACCGGTAAATCAGTTATAATAATCCAAACCATAGAAGAATATGACGATTTCTTGTTTTGTCGTCAGCGGACGAGAATCAAAATGGAAATACGTTGACCGTGGTTACTTTTTACGTTTTTACCCTTGAAATTGTTTAGTCCACAGGTAGAATTTGATTTCTTTAATTCTTTTAAAGTGTCTGATGTCACGATTTTGATATAGTACTAATATCGTGACGTAAATGGCAATTTAGGAATTAGCTATGATATTCATTCATATTTTATATGAACAAATAATACGGTAGTCAATAACGGTTTAATTTTGTGCCTATAACCAGTAGCGGAGATTCGATGGGTATAGTGGCGTGCCGTCCTATCAAAATATGAGTTGGTCATTTTCGATATCATTGGGTAAATTCACAGAAACATTATCATACATTATAGATATTTTGGGAGATTTCGGAAAAGTTGACGTTCGTAATGAAAAAAAAAATGATAATTCTCTTCAAACCATTGATTAAATGAGAAAACAGATGAATCTTTCTTAATAGATATGAATATTCCATTGACATATATATCTGGTATTGTGTGCTTATAGCGAGTCCTCTGCCATTGGTAAAGGTGTTTCGAAAATATTTCGGTGCATCATATGTAATTTATAATCCAAACAATATTCCACAGTGAGGTATTTGTAGGCCCCGATGGAGAAATTCTGAAGGAGGGGGATACAATGACCCAACTGAAGCTTGCACGAACGTACGAGAGGATTGCAGAGGGCGGAGAAAGAGCATTCTACAAAGGAGAGTTATCAAAGGATATACAGAAAGATATTCAAGACAGAGGTAAAGAAAGATTATTGTCAGTAATTTAGACCATAAAGATATGTGTAGTAATACTATATATAGCACGAACGAAGTTCTGTCCAATAAAGAAAATTCTTCCATTGTATTTTATGAATGGAATTTGATTTGACAAATGGATTATAAGATAGTTTATACGAAGGGAATAACCAGTAACAGTATCGCCCTTTTTTCTTGACATAAGCCTACACATTAGATTTGTATAGTCATACTTCTATTAATATAATATGTGTCTACTAATATAATATGTTAAGCAAACAAAAGATTACAGGATGTTTTATACGAACGGGAATATCGGAAACGTTTATTGCCAAAACGATCATCTTCACTGTACAAAAGCCAAGATGTAAAATATGGAGGTTTATCCGATATCCATTTCAATGAACAACAGAAGCTGTTTTGATGTTACGTTAATGTCTCAACCGATCTACCTAAATGATCAGTTTCGGTGACAAATAGAATGCTGATACATTTCTATATACTGGTACCGGAACTACCGTAGTCATTAATCATCTGATGATAAATCCCCTAATCAGGTTTGGTAACGTCATCATGAACTTATACTTATCAAATCATTTGATAGAATCAGGTGCAAAAGTCGTCAAAATATGAATTTCAAAAAAATAGTATTATATTTATTTGTCATGTAGATGTATGCTTTTAAAATTTCAGACCTATCCTAAGTTAAATGATAATAGCTCAACCGATCTACCTAAATGATCAGTTTCGGTCACAAATAAAATGATGATACATTTCTATATACTGGTACCGGAACTAGTCATTAATCATCTGATGATAAATCCCCTAATCAGGTTTGGTAACATCATCATGAACTTATACTTATCAAATCATTTGATAGAATCAGGTGCAAAAGTCGTCAAAATATGAATTTCAATAAAATAGTATTATATTTATCTGTCATGTAGATGTATGCTTTTAAAATTTCAGACCTATCCTAAGTTAAATGATAATAGCTATATTAGGCCCAAACCAGAATTCTTCAGGGCTATAAAAAAAAAAAAACTGTGTATGATGTTTTGTAACAGATGGAATTATCACAGCTGAGGATCTCAAGAACTACTCGGTTAAGGAGCGGAACACAACATCCATCACCATTACGGCTGAAGAGAAAACGCTACGAATGTTTTCTCTTCCGCCGCCTGCAAGTGGAGCGGTACTTTCTCTGATACTCAATATCCTGGATGGTTAGTAGACCTATAAAATTAGATTGAGTGATTAAAGTTTGCTTGTGTATTATTGTACAGCATTTGCACTTCTACTCAGCTCCGTTTTGGGTTTTTGATGACTGAAGCTGAAGCTGCTGCGACGAGGACGTCGACGATACCGTAATCGTCATGATTTTCGTCATTAGTATTTGCCATTGCAGCAGCCGCTGTTTCATCAGTTGGTTATATGTCAAATCTGTGGTGTGATTCAAGATGAGGAAAATGCTGATGAGGTTAATAGTTGGGTGGACCACAGATTGAATGTGCTCAAAATTTGTTTCGTATGCACCATTTGTTACAAGCTGGCAACAAGGTGATTCCTCATCATCAGCTCTTGGCTCATTCATGACCGTCCTACTGGGCGTCCTACTATCTCTGCGTAGATTTGGCCAACGCCACGTTTTGCCCTTTCGGGGGTCCGAGGTCCCCAACGGATTGGGGGGGTTTGGAAGCTATTTCCCAGACAAAAAAGTGGGCGTGGCCGGGCGTAGCTCAAAATCCCTCAAAAGTGTTAAATGGTGCTTCCCGAAAAATATCACATTTAGGGGGTTTAAAGGCTTTTTTAATCGATTTAAGGTCTACCCACGTTTAGAATACTTAAATCTTAAATGTCTTATAAAATTTAACTGAGTAGGATTGAGATGGAAATTATTACAAAATTCTTAAAACGTTAAATGTTTTTTTTTTACCGTACATATCACAAACTCATAAATTTATATTCAAAGTCCCCCAATCAATATAATTGACACATCTTTTATCCACTTTAATATATGTATTGTACCAAATTATTTCATTTTGCTTATATGGGTTTTCATCTATATTTTTACAGAAGGATGACCAGGTTTCCAAAAAAGGTTTTTAATTTACTTACTTATGTACAGAGTTTGTTGTTTATTTCCGTACCACATTAGTTCACTATCATACATTTTATTGTTATGTTGTTTATTTGTACTAATTACAACGCAGTAAACCATTTTGGTTTGGGATTACGTACGACGTAACGTAGTAAGTCACCTAGTTGGAAAATTATAATACAAATTATTAGTAAAACTTGTATATGACCTTGACCTTGTAGTATTAGTCATCAAAAATATGCAACATTCTACAATATGTTTTTATATCCATTAAAATTTATAACATACCGTAGTTGAAAAAAGTTATTACAAAGTGCGACAGATTTTATTACAAAGTGCGACAGCTTTGCGTATTACAAGTGTGACAAGCAGCTATTAAAAAAGTGCGACAGCTTGATTATTACAAAGTGCGACAACAGTTATTACAAAGCGCGACAGGTTATTACAAAGTGTAACAGATTTGTTACAAAGTGCGACAGGTATTACAACGTGCGACGATTATTACAAAGTGCGACAGTACAGGGGTGCTCCACGCTGAATTTTAGATTTAGGTGCCAAATTTGACCCAAAAATAGCAAATTTTACACGTTTTTATCCAAAAATCGTAATTTGAAGCTAGTCCGCCACTGAAAGTTTCAATAGGGCCTATATTTGGTATCATACAAAAGCTAGGAAAATTATCTATTGGTTGATGTGTATGATGACACATTATTGTAAATGTGTTACCCAAAAGTTTCCAAAAAAAAATCGTATTTTTTATGACTTTTTTGGCTAAATTTAATAATAAATGTTTTATTAATTAAATATCGAAAAATACAAAGCTTTTCTAGTTTTTTAAAAAACTTACCACATAAAAAGTAAAACACCTATACAAATTTCAGACTTTATTCATTTTGTATTTCGAAGTTATATTATGTCAAAAATTATCTCTCGCAAAAATGGAAAATTTTGAAATTTTTTACCCCAAATGGTATTTTGAAGCTAGTATGTTACTAGAGTCATTCCATATGAATCCAACACACTTTTTTGACCGACCCTCTTCAAATCGCCAAATATTTTGCATGTTGGGGGTTCTACCTGAGATAACCCCACAGTGGAATTTTTGGCTCCGCGCCAGCATTTTCTGATGAGTTAGAGCAATTTGAAATTTTCATGAGATTTGGCTAAAAAAGTCACTTTCTGATAGACAACTGCTGATATCTCTCTTGTTATAGCTCTCATATAGTTAGACACCAGATTTGCCCTTTTTCATTGGATATAACTGAAGTTATGAGTCAATATCATAATTTTGGCGGCCATTTTGAAAATGGCCGCCAAAAAAATATGTTCCGCCCTTTTTCTGAAGGTTCTCCCTCGCTCAATCAATTTCTTATTTATAACCTAGTGATGCTAAATCAGCAGTGAAACCTTGGTCCCAGAAAAATGGTCACGGGGCCCCTGATTTTCACCATACTATGGTGCCAGTTTCATAGAATCTATCAGCAGATTTCCTGGCAACTCAGTGAAACTATCAATACCTAGGCACAAAATGTAGTGCAGAGCTAATATATTTCATTTGCCCACAATGAAACTTTAGGGGCATCATGTGGGCTAAGTGTCCTAACTGAGGTGTGAATTTTCCAAAAATCGAGATATATACTTTTGTGATATTTTGGGTCAAAGGTCAAGGTCACGTGACTTGACCTATATAATTCTCACAAGTCCGGACGTCATCGAGTTGCATATCATTGGAAAGAGAATCTTCTTCTTTATCCAACAATAGCATTTCTCCAATACGTTGAGTTTCAAGAGAGATATCAGCAGTTGTCTGTCAGAAGGTGAGTTTTTTAGCCAAATCTCATGAAAATTTCAAATTGCTCTAACACATCAGAAAACGCGGAGCCAAAAATTTCACTGTGGGGTTACCTCAGGGAGGACCCCCAACATGCAAAATATTGGGCGATTTGAAGGGAGTCGGGCAAAAAAGTGTGTTGGATTCATATGGAATGACTCTATAGAAGATTCAATTTGAATATACAGTACTGCATTTGGTATCATAAACTATTAAAATTATGTTGTTTAGCTTGGTCTCTAAAATTCAGCGTGGCAACAGCCCATTTCGTGTGAGCCAAAAGCCTGTAATAAGAATTCATCTTGTTGTCAGCTTGTAACAAATGATGCCTACGAAAAACATGTCTGAGTACTTTCAATCTGATGGCCACCCGTCTAATAATACTAATAATGATAATGTGAATCAATATCATTATCACTATATCATGATTATCATAATCGTCACCACCTTCATCACCATTATCACCATCATTTTTGTCAGGGGTGACACCAGGATTTGCCCGATTGTGGGGGTGGGGGTGGTTCTGAACTCCAATATCCCCGACGAAGGGCGGGGGAAACGTCCCCGACTAGAGCAAAGTGGGTGGTAGGACGTCGCTCAATACCTTTACACAATGGTCCTGGGCGACACCCCAAAAAATATGAGGATTTAGGAGTTTCAAAGGCATTTTTAATCGATTTTAGAGTCTACAGTAAGTAGAATATACACAAAATTCTCTCCACAAATTGTGGTTTTTCTCCCCAACGGGGGATGTCGGGTGGGGGAGCCAGTTCTCCCCGTCGAGAGGGCCTATCCCCCGGCCACCCCTGACTGTTGTTGATGTTGCTGTTGTTTTTGTAGTTTAATATCATCATCATCATCATCATCATCATCATTATCAATATTATCATTATTATTATTATCATTATTATTATTATTATTATTATTATTATTATTATTATTTTTACTTGGCTAAATTTAATAATATATGTTTATTATATTATCATCATTAGGCCTATATAGCTAAGATGAGTAGTATATTCACTTCCTGTTGAAACACAGCAGAGTAAGGAGAAATTTAGTGCCAAAAAAAACAAAAAAAAACCATACACCTTTATTCTCAAAATCTTGGTAAAAAGTGGTTAACCTTAACACGGCAATTCTTTTCTTTAGAATATAATCTTAATGTAAATAGTTATGAAAAGGATACTGTAAAAACGTATCATCGTATCGTAGAGGCATTCAAATTCGCGTACGCTAAACGGTCAGCGCTGGGTGATCAGGATTATGTCGACGTTAAAGAGGTATTTATATTCTTTCAAATTATTATAATTATAATTTATTGTAGTTGAAATGATAAAGGGAGTAAAATGGCATGTTCTGTTTTGTACTTTCTTACGCCGTGGCCCATGTTGGCTTTAATTGTCTCAATTGTTATAAATTGTTTATTTTATAATGTGATCTTGTGTAATAAAAGTGATTTCTAAAAAAAAATAATATTTTATCATTATGATTATTAGCTCGTCGAAAATATGACGTCAGATGTATATGCCAAAGAGTTGCAACAAATGATAACAGACTATACGCATAATACTTCATACTATGAACCACATTTTGGAAACGTGGAGGACCATGGGACATCCCACCTTTCAATTGTCGACGAAAACGGAATGGCAGTGGCAGTAACAAGTACAATTAACACATAGTAGGACATCGTTAATTGCATGCAATGCAGATTTTGAAATGAAGTAGACTAAATATGAACGCAATTGTTGCTTTGCCGATGCATTTATTTAATCGGTGAACAAACAGTCGATTTTCGTCAAGCACAGTCGATTTTTTGGCTCTCAATAAGTTACAGTAAAACTTCGTTTTAGCTGCCCCTGAACAAAATATATTGTAGGCCTCCTATTGCAAATCATGTTAAATTTAATTTTAGTGCAAACTAAAACGTTTTCCAAGGAAAATGATGGAGAGAAGTCAAAATATTTCCCCATACCAATTAACAGTACTGCTGTTTAATTTCACATTTAAGTGGTTTCTAAATATATCTATGTTATGGAAAATTATATGAAACTGCTATCAACAACAGTAGTGGCCATATTGTTATTTTAAGGGGTAGCTGGCTCATCTGAGTTATAGCAATGTACCGTACTTTGCTTAAGGTACCCCTGTCCAGCATTTCAATTATTTTCATATATTGTATTTTATTGTCATTGTAATTATAAATGTTGGTCGAATAAATAGATGAAATGGAATGAAATTATTTTTATCAAAACTAATCATCACCACGTTCGCATAGTAGAGGGTAAGCGAACGAATTTTATTTAAACCAAAACTAAAAAACACGAATGTTTTGAGTGACCAACATAAGGATTGGTTTGTAGGATGTATTATTTGGGCCTATAACTAGCAAACATGTATTCATTAATAACCGTATTATAATCATTATACTGACAAACTCTTCATCTTGTTCCAGTTTTGGATCTAAAGTTCGAGGGACGCGGACCGGCATTATATTCAATAATGAGATGGATGATTTTTCCACACCTGGTACGGTGAACACGTTCGGAGTTCCCGCGTCACCCTCTAACTTCATCAAGCCTGGAAAAAGACCCATGTCCTCTATGTGCCCTTCTATAATTCTAGATAATTCAAATAAGGTACATTTGGTAGTGGGAGCATCAGGCGGCACCAGGATAACAACCGCAACCGCGCTGGTATGCTATTTATTCATTTATAATTTGTATTCTGTATTAATGTAGCACAGTTAGTGATTGCATACGGAAATATATTATTATCAACACCTCTTGAGACAGAAATTTCTGAATGTTTGGCTAGAAGGGAAGTAGCCGTATATGCTACTTAGGTTGTGATGGCAAGTGGGCCTAGGATGGTGTTATCAAAACTACTCCTGCTGTTAATTGATATGTCGATGCTGGTGTAAGTACTACTTCTACCCCACAAGTACTAAAACTTTTTCTACTTTAGCCACCTAAATATATTTTATTTTCTATCTGTCGTTATCGTATACAAAGGTTACCATGAATACCTTGTGGTTTGGTAAAAACGTGGAGAATGCAATCAAAGCACCAAGAATTCACCACCAACTGGTCCCAACTTATATAGCATATGAAGAAGACTTTAGCAAGGTAAGAGGTCTAGTTATATGCCAAAAGTGGTGTAATCACTGCAGCTGGTTCAGACAAGATAAGTTAGACACATTACTCAAAAAAAAAACATTGCTACAACCATTTTCAGTGTGAAACTTTTAGAAATAGATCTTTCTGACACAAACGCTAACTTTTGTTCAAGAAAACGTTTCTAACTACAGGTACTTGACTGCAAACCAAGCAACTCGCATCTTGTTATTACACAAAAAAATACACAATAGGATTCATAACCGCAAACCTAACCCACGCACACCATCTCTCACTAGTGATGTTTGTGCTCACACATAGAGTGAAGCTATAATGTCAAGTAGATGTCGAAGAGGGGAAATCAATATTTAATCTTGTTTACGGCGTAATCTTGTATAGGCCCTGTCTCTTAT